TGATGGTAACCGCTGAAAGCATCCATGAATGTCAACATTTCGTGTCATGTCGTGGCGTCTGCGAGGACGTCAATGTGTGGCATCGGGAACGGGTCTTTTGGGCGTGCCTTGTTTAAATCAGTGAAGTCGACACACACTCTCCACTGAACTTTTTCCCCTTTTGGTGGCCCTTTTTCTTCTGAAAAACAACAACATTAAAAAGCCAGTTAGGATATTTTACCTCGCGGACCTTTCCGGTGCGTAGCAGTGTCTCAACTTCCTGATTGATGATGTCGTTCCTTTCCCTGGCAAAACGTCGTCTCTTCTGCTTGACTGGTTTATGTGAGGGGTTAACATTCAGTCGATGAGTGATCACTTGCAGATCAATCCCCGTCATGTTGTCATGGCTCCAGGCGAAGACGTCTTTATGTTCTTTCAAAAGAACAATAAGTTCTTCCTTTAGCTGAGTTGACATGTTGCCCCAATGCGGACGACTCTATCCGGATGGTCTGGATCAATGATGATGTCTTTAATGTTGTTGTCATCTTCCCTGACCGGATTGAAGTCGCCCTTTAATTGTTATGCAGAAGTCGTAGCAGAGGCTGTTGGCTTCATTGCGGTCTGGTAACATGATTTAGCAGCGGCCATGTCACCTTGGATGGATTGGACTCCCCATGGCGTTGGAAATTTGACCACCTTATGGTATGTTGACGGGATTGCCGCCATTTGATGTAGCCAAGGCGTCCTCAGAATCATGTTGTAAGCGGGGAGATCTTGGACTACATCGAACTTCATCTGCAAGTTAAGACAATTTGCATGTACGGGTAAAGAAACGTTACCTATTGCTTGACTCGGCTCGCCGCTGAATCCGACAAGGGTAGAGCCGGAGACAGCCAAGTCTTCCTCTTTGTATCCCATCTGTTTCAGTGTTTTCAACATTGAGATGTTGGTTGTGATACCGTTGTCAACCAAAACTTGCCTCACCTCACAGTTCGCCACCCTAAGAGCAATAACTAAGGTGTCATGATGGGCATCACTTGGACTAGTCAGATCCGTTTCATCGAATGTGATAGGCGCAGTTTTCCAGGTTTCTTCCTTTCGGACGACTTGATACACCTGTGACAACTTGTCTCGGGGATACTCTCGAGCTTGTCTCTTCGCTGCAGAATATGTTAGTCCACATTAATTTGAACCACATAAATCTGAACCACCTGGGATCTCGTTGACCGCTGGACTTGTCTGACTTCCTGGGCCATCGGACCTTTTTCCCCAATTTGTCTAGGGCGTTGATCAATCCAACAGTGTTGACATTGAAGCGGTATGTTGGAATAGAAGGTGGCATGCTGGGATCATCAAGCCAAGTAGTCACTGATGCAACGGGTCGATCTTCATTTTTCGCGTAGGGTTTTCCCGTCCTGTAGTCGTGCTTTCTGGAAGTGCTTGCTTTCTGTTGTCCTCCCTCATATCCGTTAGAACGAAGACGAGACTGTTGATCCTCCTTAAGTCGGATGAAAGGCAACGTCATGGTCTGGACGTCTTCAAAGGTCTTGCATGGAAACTTAGTCAGTTCCGTATACAAGTATGAGTCTTCAAGTAATCCTCTTCTGAATGCTTCCACAGCTGTCGGTGTGTCACATCTTGGGATTGACACCTTTTCTTTGTTAAAACGATGCAAGTAATATCTTAAGGACTCGTTGCGTCTTTGGGTTACTCGATACAAGTCGCTGGTTTGCTTTTCCAAGGTCCGACTACTTGCAAACTGCTGGGTGAACAAGTTAACCAGCTCGGCGAACGAGTTGATGCTCCCGTTCGGTAAGTTGACGAACCATGTCAACGCAGGACCTGTCAATGTTGTCTCAAAGGCCCTGCACATACAGGCATCTTGTTGATCGGGTCTGACAGAGATGGCCAACATTCGCTGTTTATACTGAGCGACATGTTCTATCGGATCAGAGGTTCAATCGAACAACTTCATTGATGGTGCGGTGAATTTCCTTGGAATCTCGACGTCCGCAATATGCCGTCCGAAGGGTGAATCTGCGTAACAGGTTTGCGTCACTACGTCAAGCGGACGTGGAACCTGAGGGATGTCGTTGACCTTTTCCCGCAATTCCCACAGCTCTTCCATGATGATGGCCAAGGGATCTATCGTGTTTGTTGGTATTTGGACTATCTGCGGACCCACTGCTCCGGGGGGTGTTGCCGTCTGATTCTCATTTTGTCCGATCGGTGACTGTATGGTGATGACCTCTGGTTCCTGACGCTTTTGATTGTTGATGTCGACACCTTTGGTCATGTCGACATGGATCAGAACTTGTCGTCTCTGGGGTTCCGCAAATAAATTCCGGAATACGTTCCTTCTGGAATTTGGGAGTGGGACTGGACGAGTTGAAGGCCCCGCTCCTCCGGATGAGCCGGCTCCGGAGTGAGGGATGAAAAGCACCACTGGTGCCGACATGGTGCACCACGTGATAGGAATCGACATCTGTTGGTTGACAGTTTGCAAACCAGATGTCGTCGGCCTGGTCCGCAACGAATCTGGGAAGAAACACATCGGGATGCTTGCTGCTGGAGTCGTTTCCGGGACAAGACGTTCGTAGGGCACAAGTTGCGAAACCACCAGGGAGTATCCGGCATATGGATTGAAATCCAATATTTCCGGAAAAGACTCGATTGTGAAGGTGAGTGTGGAGGTTGAGACCAGTATTGAGTCCATGTCTAATCTTGATGCTGCGGTCATGACCTCTTTCCCTTTTCGTGAGCTAGATGCTATGGACGCCACCGACTGTACCTGAGATCTTAAAGTGTCGTTCTCGCCTTGGAGTAAAGCCACCCACTGACGCATCTCGTCACGGACAGCTTCCAACTGCGCTGCGTCGGCATTTCTGGACGTGTGAAGCTCTTCTCGGACGGCTTCTAACTGCTCTGCGTCGGCATTTCTGGACATGCGAAGCTCTTCTCGGACGGCTTCCAACTGTGCCTGGATCTCAATCACCAGGGAATAGGAGCTATTGGCCATAATTGATTCTCTTCTTTGCAAGAATTCCCCACAGACGCCGCCAATTATTTATACCGGAATTAGATAATTAAATTGAACTGGGAGTCTCACAAAATAGAATCAATAATGGACAAGTCGATATAAGCAATAAATTGAATGATAGCAATAGATATTTCTCAATATGGAGGTTTCGAATACAGAGTATTAGATAATTGGAATGAATGTGTACGTTGATCGTGATTGATCGTGTTTTACTATAAAGCATGAGCTAGTGTATTTATGGAATGAAGTAAACTCATTCCCCAAGAATGGTAATTGTCCTCCTATTTCTCCTCCATGTGCTCACTCTCCTCTTGACTTGCTCTTCGACTCTTTTAATTCTTATCCCTAATTTAGGTAAATGTCAACCGTAGCAAATTGAAGGGTTTCGATATTCCTTTGGGCTGCCTGAACCAGCTTACCTCGACGTACCTATTGGCCGAACTGAAGGAGTATTTTCCTGGCCCCAACAGTATTCTGAGAAGAACCCTCCTCAACTCATAAAATCATAAATAATTCAAGTACCAAAAGTAGTGTCCGTAACATTTCAACTACATGACTAACTAGAGGACTAAAAATGGTAACAACTCACAAATTTGTCTATGTTTTTCCTTTATTTTGTGTAATTTTTTAATATTATCTACATGCTGGGGTTGCTCTAAAACGAAACAAACTTAAAAAATACTCCCTCCGTATCACATATATCTTCCCACTTCCAAAGTGGGTGAGATTAAGAATAGTGAAAGTGGATATAAATTATTGAGGGTAAGATGGGAAGATTGTGAAATAATATGATGGAATGAAGGATAAATCCAAAAAAGTAGGTGTAATAGTGTATTATATTTTAAATTATTGAGGGTATGATGGGAAGATTTAGAAATGGGAAGATATAAATGTTACGTCCTAAAAGGAAAAGTGGGAAGATATAAATGTTACGGAGGGAGTAAGTATTATAAGATGTGCATATAAGAACATTATAAGATGTTCAGCATATAGAATTACTTGTTCTTATACATCCAGAAAAATCAGTCATGATAAAGTTAGGATATTTTGAATATTAGATAGATCAAAACGTTGCAAGTGAATCATTAAATGAGTTTTTGCATTGGCATAAAAAGTGTTTTGTGCTTTTAGATTCAAAAGAAATAAAATACTACCTCCGTTCTCTTTTACTTGCAACATTGGACTTTTTGCACTATTCACATATTCTACTTTGATTATATTTTATTAATTAATGTATTATAAATTAATTTAAAAAAAAATATTTTTAAATTCTTCTCATTCTAAATTTTCAAAATATGAATTTTTTAATTTCTTTTGACTAAAAACGAATGAAAGATATGAATGGTCAAACTTGTACGTTGTCAAACGTGAAATATAGACTGTTGCAAGTAAAAGATAACGGAGGAAGTAAGTGTTTTCTAACATATGTTCTTACTTAAAGTAATCACTTTAAAGCTAAAACTTGAATATTTTTTGCCTATCGATTTTTTTATCAAACAAAAAAAAGCGCTTTTCTTTGTCAATACTAGTACCACTTATAATTTTTTCTTTTGAATATCATCACTTTTACAAATTATAATTTGATCAACCTATTATAATAAATGTTTTATACATGTTCTATTGTCATAACATTCCTTGTATTTATTATGCCCCAAACGGACCCATCTTTGGACTCTATCTGCTTAGCAGCCCCATGTTAGGGCCTCTAATTTGCTAAGGCTTTCTATTTTCTTGTTTTTACGGCTCCCTTGAGCCCGCACACTTGTATACTTGCTACTTTCTGGTTCCATCAATAAAATATCCATTCTTTTTTAAACACCTTTGAATTCTGATTTCAATTTGATAGATGTCATCAAATCACGGATTACTTCGGCCTTATATTATTAATCACTTTTCAAATAATTCATTGCAAAACCAAAAAGTAATTTAAATGCAAAGTTATTGACTACCATTCACATACATAGAGAAAAAAAGCACAAACCTTGGTACGGAAGTCAACAGATTGAGAAACAGCGTCATAAGACCTTTCCAAGAGTTCTTTATAAGAGGGCTTAAAAGAAAGAGTTTGCTCCATCCAAACGCCGTTAGCCACCGACAGACCGGGGCCACCGAGATGACTGGCATCAGCAAGGATATTGGTGAGGACGTGGAAGGCAAAAGCATCGAAATCGGTGGTGGAATCGGACTCGAGGAAGGAAAGAAGGCTGTGGCGGGTTTCGCCGGTAGAGCCGGCGGCGGCCATACCCAACAAGATGTTAATGGAGAGGGGAGACACAACAAAGTTGCCATCTCCTTTGACCACGTCGAAGAAGACGTGCTTTGCAAACATTAAGGAGGCGTCCGTTTGGTTGGTGATGAAATCAGAGAAGTCCATCTCTATTTTCCGTTTACGGTTGGAAGCAATGGCCAGCGCAGCCATGGAGGGAGTAATAGGCCGGCTGGGTTTACATGTTAGGGTTTATATATATCTTCACTCAACCTAATGACTTACTCTGAAATCTTGACTAGGGTTTTTACACGATGTCTTTAGAATTTAGAATTGAGATATTAATCGAAATAGGACTAAAAAAATTTGAAAATTCCAAAATAGGACTTGCATGTTTTTATTTCCAAAATAGGACTAATTACTTCCATGTTTGGCAGTACCAGACTTCAAACATGGCAGTATTTTCCAAATTCGGCAGTAATTAGTCCTATTTTGGGAATAAAAACTTGACAGTCCTATTTTGGAATTTTCAAACTTTTTTAGTCCTATTTCGGGAATTTTCCCTTTAGAATTTTGCTCCTCTCCATTAGGAGACAGATAGAGAGAGGTGGAGATATGGTGGGGCAGAGAAAAAGAAAAGATTATGTTTAATTATTTTTTTGAGAAGAGAGATAGAGTGAAAAAGAAATGGAGAGAGTAAATGGAGAGAAGGAAATTGAGAGGAGCATGACCCATTGCTTTAACCTAATTGTCCTATATAGAATTGTAATTAAACTTAATTCCCTAAATATGACTTTACTTTTTTAATTCTCTAAATAGGACTCCGGATTACCGTTATACTCTTCTATTGTGATTTTATACTTATTATTTTAGTCCTATTTAGGGCATTAACTCATTTCTTTATTTGTTAATCTTTAACTAGTTACTACCTCCGTCTCATTTATATTGGGACCGAAGAAGGTGACACGGTTATTATGAAAAGTAGGTTTGTGTGGTTGATATTAATTGATAAAGTAAGAATAAAGTAAGAATGATTTAGAGCCACAGAAACTTTGCCAAATATGGTATGAGACAATTTAAGTGAGACTTCTCGAAAAGATAAAACGGGACAATATAAATGGGACGGAGGGAGTATTTGAAAAACTAGTTCCAAATTAATGAGTTGTTCTAAAAAGGAGATTTAACGGATTGATCCCCCATTGTTATAAAAAAAGGGTTAACTATCAAAATAGGACTAAAAGTCACTCACTTTGCACAAATAGGACCAAATAATAAACTATGTTTCCATAGGACTAATTATGTGTGTCTTGGACAAATATACCCTTATATCTAATGGAATGTTTTAATTCATAATAAAATAATAAAATAATAAAAATTTGTAAAATATACCAAAAAATTAATAAAAATAGTTTAACTAATAATAAATTAAAAAAAATCAAGAAAATTCAAAAAATTTATCACTCCCGCCTCTGCCACCCCAACACCACCACCTCCAGTCATTTGGGGAAAAAATGCCAAATTTATTATGAATGCCATATTTTTGGCAGAAGTCAGAATGATTTAAGTTAGCAGAATAAAAATGTTGGCATTTTCAAAGAGAAATGACATTTTTTGGCAATTTCAGAAGAAAAAATGGCAGTTTTTAGTAAATATGTCATTTTTTTAACGGTCGGGGGTGGTGGTGCAGGGAGGCGGTATCACCACCTCCTGTCACCGGGGGGGGAATGCCAAAAATATTACGAATTCCATATTTTGGCAAAAGTCAAAAGGATTCAAGTTGGCAGAATGAAAATGTTGGCATTCTCAAAGAGTGATATGCCATTTTTTTTGGAATTTAAAAAAAGTGGCATTTTTTACACCGATCGGAGGTAGTGGTGCAGGGAGGTAGTACAGGCGGTGGGAAAGGCATCCATATATTTTTTAATTTTTTTATGGAGTTTTACTATTTTTTATTAATTTTCAAAACAAATAAAAATAAAAAAAAATATGAATTCCTTTTTTTGTTTTTATTTTTTTATAAAAACTTTATTAAGTTTTTTATTATTTTTCTACAAATTATTGAAATTTTTTTGAATTTATTATTAATTAAACATTTAATTATGACTTTTGACTATCTTTTATTCATATTTAAAGGAGGGGTAAGAATGGAAAGAAGAATTAGGTATGTTTCCAATAGGACCAATATGGTTCTATTTTGGAATAAACAACATATATAGCAAGTCCTATTTTGAGTTTTTGTCATAGTTTTAATCCTATTTGAAGTAATTTCCGTATAAAAAAACACACAGCAATTAATACTTTTTCCAAATATTGACACACATTATTAATCCAAATTAGGCGAACTCTGTTTTAATTTCGACTTATTCTGTTTGTATTTTTGGACGTGTTATTATTTCCTAGAAGAGAGATTCTAGATTTTAAGTCAGGTGATGAGAAGTCTGGTTTGCTAGTCATTGGCTCAGTTAAGCTCATTACAGGATCAGCGATTATTATTGCTTCTACAGAGGTGATATATTCTAAGTCTTGTTCAAGGGCGAACGGCAGACATAAGGCTTTTTATCGCTTTGTTTACTTCTTTTTCTTTGATTGTATTATCAACCTTATGACGAACGTTATTTTGATTTAATATATTTGTTGGATTTGACGATAAAAAAAGTGAAGTACATTGGAATTGTTTACAAATTAATTAAAACATCAAAAATATTGTTGAGTTTTTATTGTGCATATCTTTCAATTTGGTTTTGAAATATATATAAAATATAACTAATTATTGTTAATGGTTATAATTAAGAGTTTTTAATCAATATAATATTTAGATAATAATATTCACGTATAATGTGTACACAAAATAGAAGTTGGATGTATGATAGATGATAGGCACTAGTTGTTAGTGCCTAAAGTGTACATTTTTATTATCGTTTGTAATATTTATTTACTAGTATTATGCAAGTTTGTAGTTGTTAGTTTGCATTTGATTGTAAATAGTATTTTTAGCATTTTATTGTTTGTTGTAAGTTATTGTTAGTTGAGCTATAAGTTTAGGATAGGTTTGGAAGCAAGAAGGATGGAAAAACCTGAGTTTTATGCAAAACCCGGTCGGGTATGGACTTTACCTGGCCGGGTATGAAGTGACAAAGGGAGTTGCTACGAAATTAGCAAATACCCGGTCGGGTATTTGACGTGCACTTTGTCGTGAGTGCACTCAAAATAAATCGATACTAACACTTATACGTAGTATAGGTGAAGTAGAGTTCGTATCCACAGGGAAAGGAATAATTCTCTTTTTATGAACTAGTAAATAAAGGGGGGTTTTGTTTGTTGAGTGATTTAATTAAATTAAACACGAAGATGAACGAGTTATATGGGATTAAATTCAGGAATAAAAGGGACTTGGTCTTGCTACTTTCCACTTGTTGATATATTTTAGTTGATCATTGTTATATCTATAACTTATCCCCTCTCGAATACTCAATCGAAGAGTATATCCAATTCATCGAGGGTAGTTATTAACCACGACCGTTCATTAATAACCCTTACTATTAACCAAATATAGAACAACGCCGTATACCGATTTAATAGTAGCATTTAACCTCTTTAACTCCTTGATGAAATCAATTGAGATTGATAACCTCAACACAACGGTTTCGGTTTAACCAACAAAATTAATCCCTCTTAAGTTTATTAACCACGAGCGTGCATTAATAAACCGAAGTTACTTACTTATGAAACCTTCAACGTTTAACCATCGGTTCGTTGAACGTTTCTAGTAATAATCAATGTCGGAACGTTAACTAATCGTCACTTAGCCACCCTCCAACAATGATATAGAATGAGATTAAGGGAAGAATTAATAATCAAGAGGAGAAAGTAAGAAAATAACTCACAACTATAATAATCAATCAAGCTTCAAGAGCAAAACCAAGAAATGGAAGTTTAGCTCCTCATTTGGAGACTAAACATGCTAAAAGAAATATAGAGAAATTCTATTCTAAACTGAGCTTAAGAGTATAAAGGAATTGGTGTCCTCAAAGTGAAGGAAAAGAGGTGTATTTATAGGCTTTTTTGGAGGTGCAGGTCGGGTACTCGATCGAGTATATACATATACTCGATCGAGTATGTGTAGAATGGTGAATTTTAAGCCATACTCGACCGAAGTCGGGTTGAAATTTATATGTATACCCGATCGAGTATGTCGGTGTACTCGATCGGGTATGACAATAGAACGTGGCCAAATCTTTCCTTGCATGTTCCTTTGTTTTCGGAGTAGACCTGTTTGAGCTCAGAATAAACCTAATCTAAACAATTTACAAGAATTTAACAAACTAAACTATTACACCAAAAGTGTGTAATTTCCGAAATATTAAACAACCAAAACTAGCTAAAAACATAAACATACACACGGAAATTACAAGTGTATCAACTCCCCCACACTTAGTTCTTTACTCGACCTCGAGTAAAACAGAAACATCCAACCGGTTTAAGAGTTTTCCAAAAGTTCAAGAAAGAAGGAAACTAAGACCACCAAGGGGAAAAATGAGTTTTTACAACAACATTCTTTCTTGGGTTTAATGATCTTCTATGCTCCATCTTCTTGCCTTTTTTTTTCTTCTTTTTCTTCTCTTCTTCCTCTTTTTCTCCAAAGAGATTAAATGAGTGCATGCAAAAACAAATATTTCTCTTATATCTCTCATTTTGCCTAGGAGCCTTTTCAGGTTTTTTTACAAGCCTTTTTTTGCTTAGATTGCCCATTTTGTTGGGTTTTCAACCTAACTAGCATTTCTTTTCTTCATTTTTTTAAAGAAGTTCATGCATAGTAAAAGGTAGAAAATAGGATTACATACCCATGATGAGTCTCCTCCCCCACACTTAGTTCAAGCACTGTCCCTAGTGCCCAATTTCGGCTTTTGTTGTTTGTGGAGTAAGGTGATTTTGATTTTTGGTGGGTTGTGGGTGTTTTGGTGGAGAAATGATGGAGATATGGTAGAGGGAAGGTAGAAAAAAAATGGAGTTTTGGGGAGAAGGGGTCGAGGTGTTTGGAGAAGATGAAGTGTTTTGGGGTGTGTTTTGGGGTTAAGTCGCAGATGTACCCGATCGGGTACTCAACACAGGGGTTCGAGTATGAAGTTTTCCAGTAATACCCGATCGAATATGGCTTAATACTCGATCGGGCCTTCAAGACAGGGTCTGGTAGGTTGATTTTCCCGACATACTCGACCGAGTATATGTCCATACT